AATTGATTTTGAATAGTGATATGATGGGAAATGTGTGGTTGAAAAAGAAGAAAAAATTGTTGATGTGATGGAAAATATTATTTTATTGAAGAATGTGTGGTTGAAAATGAGAATTGATTTACTGTAGAAAATGAGAATCATTACCAAACAGGCCCTATATGTACTGGTTGGAGAATTTTTTATTATTGTACAGGTGGTTTTAGTCCATATGACAGAAAAAATTCTGTCAAAATTTTCATAAAAGCAGGTTACAGTTTAAATAAGTCATAGTCGCCTTGGTGGTGGGTCTGGCACTTGGCTGGTATCTATCATCAACGCACGACACATATTGGGTCCTTTATAGTGACTTAGGACGGATCGTGTCAATGCTACCCATTAAAAAGGTAAGCAATTTGAAGATATTCGAAGGAACCAACTCAAATTAATGCAGATTTTAATACTTATAGGTATGAAGTTTGGCCAGAATGGAAAAGTGTGAAGTTTCAGCCAAAATTGTTCAAATTTTCCACTTCCGCATGGAAGATTTGAAATAAATATGCAGTTAGGCAATTTGTTATTGATTAGCCAAAGTTGCAATGTTTTGAAACTTTTGGTTCATTTTGCGTCCCTTGTTTTGGATCACTAGATTGTTGTAATGATTGGTTTGTTAACTCGGGTACATCCAAAGTAGTTGTACCCAATTTTGATCAATATAAATTTATTTATCAGATCAAAAAAATAAAATAGGCTTAGATTAGAGCTTACTATGTCCCTGATAACACAAGAAAGGGACGAAAGAGAAAATGGTTAAATTATGTAAATGAAGCAAGGACGTGGCTCCCCACTGGCGGAGCTAGGGGGACCGGGACCCGGACCCCCCCAAATTTTTGACAAATTTTTTTTTTATTTTAAAATTTTATTTTTTGAATCTTTTTGTATTTACTACCATTATCATTTTGTCCTCAAATTGAATAAAAATCTTAAACCATACCAATTTCATTTTTCGTTTTCGTCTTCAAAATATGAGAATTCGAAAGGAACACTTGTAATAAGGTATGCTTTTGCTAAATTAAATATTGGTACTTTCTTTTATATGTTTTTTGGTTTTTGTTGTTAATAAGGTAAAAAAAATAAAATTCGAGGGCCTTTTATCTCTATATCTTCAATTCTGGGACCCCCTACTTCAAACGGTTGGCTCCGCCCTTGTGGCTCCCCACCCCATTGTCATCCCTACCAAATTGTGTCGTTTCACCACATTATTGTCATTATCGCTAATAGCATGTTTTTAATCAGAAACCCTATGCCTCAAAGAAAAACCACTCCAACTCTTAGTACTACGACTTCAGGTGCAACCCCACAATGGTATAGTCCGAGAGTCAACCACTGGGATAATTACACAAATGCAAGGGCTAAAGATAGTAAAGTTCACAAACTCTGCTACACATGAAAGTTCATAAACTCACTTTAGTATTTCATGTCGTTTCATTTTATTAACAGACACTATAAACAAGAGCCAATGATTGCCCTTTTTCCATTTCAAATTTCACTTCAAAATCCAATTTTTCTAACTCTCTTATGTTGCCCCCATTATTTGAAGTTTTCAAGTTTTGGAATAGTAAATTTTTTAAGAATGTGCGGTCAAAAATAAAAAAAAAGTTTTGGGGCTATATATAATATTATTTTATTGAAATGTGTCATTGATAAAAAGAGAGAGAAAAATGAATTTTATTTTTAATGTGGGACAAACATGAGCTAAAGGAGAAAGCTTGAAAAGAATGACATATGACAATGGTTTGCCTCTATATGTAGTCAAAATCAACATCCAATTATGTCAATGACTCAAATGTACCACAAAATTATATTTGACTCTGAGTATGGTGGATTGCGGGCCATTACTGAATATTAACCACAAAGCCCCATAGGAATTGGAAATAGCCACAAGACGGGAGAAGCCCCCTAACTTTTAGAGAGATTCTTGACGTACACACTTGGGTGTACATCATGCATTACACTACTCTCATGATGGTGGGGAGTGTAAGTCTTAATGCTCACAAGAGTGTACATTAAGACTTATTCTAACTTTTAATGCAGATGAATATGGTATGACGACAC